TTGGTTTGAAATGCGACCCGCGTCGCTTGTGTCATCTGACATCTGACACTCTCCCCGTGGGAGCACTCCATCCAAGGCACTAACGTATCCAAAGCACTCAAACGAACTGAAAGACCTTAGCAATGAGATGGTAGGGCAGCTGGAGGAGCATGAGCAGGGGATAGGTGTGGAAGAGACTAAAGCCATGTCGTTGAAACCATAGGTCGTGTTCTCCCTGTCTGCTGATGCCATCTGACCAGTTGTCCTTACTCTGGACCCATTCAAAGTAGCAAGCACTACGAATTTCAAAGAGGAGGCCATATATAGCTCCGGCCATAGAATCCAGCTCATCATTGTTGCTGCGGCCTCGAATGAGAGCCATGAGTGCTGCGATATTGTCGACAAACCATATACCATGCATCCCGCGAGTTGACGAAGCATTGTACGCGAGGCCCATGTAGACCGTCAAAAGTTCAAGCTGCGCGATCTTGGCGTCGTGGTGAGACCACACCTCGAAGATCTCCGGGCGGATGCGGACAACATAGGCCCGTCGAACGCCGTGGGGATCGATGAACAAGACTCCTGCAGAACCCTCGCGAGGCAGGTCTTGTGCCGCATCGGATGCAGCCAAGTACCGGTACTGTCGCACGGGGTTAAGCGGTAGTTCTCTTTCTGGCTTCAACTGAAGTAGTGCTCGAATGCGATCAAAGGATTGCTCAATCTCCGGTGTCATCACGACCTGTGAGGAGTATTGCCTTTCTTTGATGCTGTGGAGGCCCGACCGGCCGAGTTTACCGAAGCATCCTGTCGTCAAGAAACCCAAGCAACCAGAGAGTTTGGCCGCCAAGCCCGGGGGAAGGCGACCGGTCTGAGCTGCCTTCTCCATGATGTCAGTGACCTTGGTGATCAAACGGTCACGGACCCAAAACTTCACAGGGGCACCCCGGTGACAGGCTGTCACATCGTGGATCAGCCCGAGAAAATCAGATTGGGCCGCCAAGGACTGATGTTTCTCTGTTTGGAAGGGTGAGCCCAGGCATCGGGCGAGTTCATTGACAAAGGCCTGGCCAGTGCCGCCCATGATACCAAAGTCCTGAATGGTCAAGTCATCAAAGTACATGCTAGTCATGCAGTAGGCCAGGCGGCGGCAGGCAGCTTGAAAGAATCTGGGGAATCGGTTGAAAGAACATACCGCATTTGGTAACCCGAACAGAGAACCATAGTATCGCCGAAAGCGTGGGGCTCCATCGTGGTGGTCGTAGTAGGCTACCACGGCCATGTTGCTATGTGCCGGCTTCATGGGAACATAACGATAGGCATTGGGCAAGTCTTCGCCCCCGGACCAGATACCAGCCTGAAGCAACTCAGACGAGTGAACTGACGACGAGGCCGCCTGCCATAGCAGTTGAACATGTAAGCCGGGTTGAATGCTAGTACAGAGGTCCAGCTTGTTCGCATCGGAGCTAAGGGCACTTTGCCCTCCGTCTGCAGCGTCATCTATGACTCGCAACTTACCAGACGGTTGCTGTATACATACAGAACCTCCGAATCAGTCGGAATTGAGGGAGTTCCTGGCACAGCTGGGCCCATGTCAAAGGGGGGCCACAGAAACCTTTAGCTTGGTCCTCCTCGCCTGCCTGAACGATAGCCGTGTCGTGCTCGCCTGGACGAAGGCTCTGGATGATGCGGGCAGCTTCAGGCAATGCGTCCTGGTAGATGGAAGCGTCCGTGATGTAGTGGGCTGGCTGAGCCTTGTAGATGGGCACGTGCGGGGAAAAGCCCACGGCCGCGAACCCGTAGATCAGGTTGGCTACAAAGGTAGTATCTGGCCAGCCGGTAATCAACATAATGAGGCCAATCAGTGCAATGTGGCGACCCCGGGTGGCTGATCGGACAGGCGGTGGCTGATAGGTTTGAAGATGGTAGGTGATGGGCCACATTCGACGACTGAGTTCTTGGAGCCATCGTCCTGTGCGTCGTCGCACCTCACGTAGGCCCACTCCCTGGGCTGCATATCCCGCTGCTGCAAAGATCAAGTCATCGTCAACGACGCCCATAGTTTCAAATGGGGTCTCTGCTGCAGTTCAAGTGCGAGTTCAAAATGTCGCTCCTCCCCTACGCCGAAGGGGATCATAGGTGGCAAGGCTTTAGCCGCGGCAGCCGCCCCGGGCTGCTGAAGGCCGCTCATAGCGATGGCGTTGCGCTCCAAGGGGCCCACCAACCGTGGGCCAAAGGCATGTCCGTCCCAGTCCGGGCGGTTCTGCATGTAGTTGAGCCATTGATACTTGGTTGCCGGTTTCTGTTTGTAGAACTTATAAACAGTTATTGGATACCGAAGTTAAAAGTAGATACAAGTGAAGTTATAGAAGTTATTGAAGTTATTTGGAAGGCACGAACGCGGACTGGACTCGGAACGGCTAACTACACATAACTTCTATAAGTTACTTCTAAGTAAAAATAAGTTTTCAGGTTCTTAATGTTTTCAGTTTCATAGTTTCCGGTTGTTTTGTGCATATTGTACATGAAACATAACAAACTATTGGTACATTGTGTATATACTGCGTGTGCGTTTGCGGCCCATAGGAGCCGCATTTATGCACGCGGACCACAGGTCCGCGATGGCTAGCGCAACTCATTTCAATGGCTTCAACAACACCGCAGCGACAAACAGCGCGCACGAACTGCATTTTAGGAATGATCAGTGGTCGGTGTCTCATGGGAGGCAGAGGCACGTGTTTCCTGTGAACGACCACCAAGAAGGCGTTGTGTCCACCGGTCGAGATACATGCGTTCCTCCGGGCCCGCATTAAGTAGAGAAAACGTCCCAAAAACTAAGGTGTTTCTGTGGAAAGTCTGTATGAGTGTATGAGTTGGAGCTAAATGTATCAGAATGTATCTTTATGTATCTTTCAGACCGGGTTCAAAAGATACAAAAAGATACATGTATCTATTGGACCGGTACCAAAAGATACATGTATCTTTTTGTCCCGGCCCAACATGTATCTTTTGGTACCGGTCCAAGAGATACATGTATCTTTTTGTATCTTTTGAACCCGGTCTGAAAGATACATAAAGATACATAAAGATACATTCTGATACATTTTTACTAGTAATTAAACGCTGCCAATTTTTTTGTAGTAGAGTTCAGTGTTTAGGGTCGTATTGGTACACGTGTGTATAGACATGTGGCTATTGTCTCCAGGTCCACTTTCAGTGCATTACGCTGTCAACTACTTAGACATGTGGGCCGCCAAGAATGCGTTGGAAAGACATGTACTCCATAGCGGCCCACAGGGCCGCCAAGAATATTTTCAAACACATGTGTGCTGTGTATATATATGTTCTACCCTATATGCAAAAATTGTTGAACAAACCATGAAAGTATATGGTTTCAAATATGTTCAAAGAAACTTGGACTTGAAAAAGACAAGTTCCGTAACTTCTATAAGTTTTCAGGATTTCACTTTGTCGGTTTAGGTCGTCGATGCAAAAAAAAACTTACAGAAGTTAAAAATAGATAGATGTACCTTACATGTCCAGTAAATACTTGTAACTTCTACAACTATAGTTGGAACTTGTGGAAGTTAATAGAAGATGTAAGCTGCTATAAGCATGTTGCAAGCACATAGAAGCCGGCAACCAAGTAGTGCGAGTTGTCCACTATAGCAAGTCTTCGAGCATTGGCCATTGGAATCCATCCCAACTGACATCCGGGCAGAGGGCCATGAGGCTAGCCACCACAATTTCCTGAGAGAATCGTAGGGGGACCGCCCGGGCAGGGCGATGTCCCATGACATAGCACATTGTGGGGCAATCGCACACCAGATTCTTGTCGTGAAGCGAGGAAAGATCAGCCATGAGATGGTCCTGGTCAGCGATCCATCTGGCGTAGTGAAGAACACTCTCAAGGGCAGTTCGACCCTCTCCCGCCCGGAAGGGGTTTTGCCATTGTGTCAGCGGCCATCGGTGGGAGAAGTGGCCGG